ATTCTCGTGCTCGCTGTCCTGCATAGTGCTTGGTTCTGCCTTTGGGTGTCTTCTTCTCCTCCTCTTCCTCCTCCTCCTCTACTTCCTCCTCCTCTTCCTCCTTCTTCTCCTCTATCCTCCTTGGCCATATCTTGATTAGGGAATTGAAATATGTCCTTAGAGTCTAAAATGCTTCCTCAGAATTCCTCCCATGATTAAATTTGTTGGGCCAGAGTTTTTTATCTGAAAGTCATAGACTCTCTCTCTTTCAATGTAGCAATTTGTTTATTAAGCAAACACACCCTCCAGATTCCTTATCCCTCAGATCTAAATATTAGCCTGGGTGGCTAAAAATAGGGGAAAAGTAAAACTGAAGTGGACTTGGAGTCTTTAATGACATATAAAGTCAATTCAAACATATGTAAACAACAAAAAAGCAAAAGCCTTAGTCTCTTAATCTGGGTTGATGGATTTTTAATCCAGTACAATGCTTTCTCAATCTTTATGGACCTGTTATTTTTATCTGGTCAGCTCACATGAGGACATAAGTTGAAACTTTGTCTTCATCCTCTTTGGTAGGAAACCATTACCAATAGTTTCTTCCAAATTATTTATGCATCTACAAAGCAGCAATTCCTTTGATAAGTTTCTAGATACATAAACATTTAATTTTCTTAATAAATTAAAATATGTCTTCTTCAAAGAGAGACGTCCCCTCTCTCTTTTTTACAGAGCTGTTGTTAGTTGTCCTGAAATAATTTCCTGACTTGTGCCAACCCCCTGTGTTACAGAGGAGAACAACTTTATAGGGCTTTCTTGGCTGCAATCTTTACGGAGAGAGATTGCCATCCTTTTTCTTCTGTGGAGAACATCGGTGCATCATTTTAAAGGAAAATTAAAAAAAAATTTCACTGAGTTGATGAGTCAGTTGAGTCGATGCTAACTGGACTCAAGTCATTGAGTGAATGCTAACTCATCGCAACCCCCTAAGGATTTCTGAGAGAATGCAAGTATAACTTATAGGACCCAATGATTACATTTAAACAGGAAAAGACAAAGGCAAATCATCCCCATGTGGGAAAACACCAGTACCATCCCATAATGGGGCCCACGGCTTCACAGCCCCAGGACCACTTAAATAAGACAAAGGAAAATGGCACAAAAATCATGATTGGTGAAAGATCAATTCATCACAGTCTCAGACAAGATTATAGAAGCAGACACTCAAACCAACTGCTCTTGAGTTGATTTTGACTCACAGTGACCGTGTAGGACAGGGTAGAAGTGATGCTGTGCGTTTCTGACACTATAATTTTACAGGGGTAGAAAGCCTTGTCTTTTCTCCAAGGAGCTTCTGGTGGTTTTGAACTGCTGACCTTGAAGTTAGCTGCCCAACTCATAACCCACAACACCACCAGGGATCCAAGAAGCAGAAAAGGCACCACAATTGGCATACATAGCCTATGGCAGAGTAGAAAAACTTACAAGACTGCTTCAGGGTCCTCTGACCACATTGGTATGACTCGTGACTATAGGTCCCTAACTGAACCCATGGTCATTGAGTTGGTTCCAATTCATTGCGGCCTTACACAGCGTTTTCAAGACTATAATTCGGTTTTCTTTTTAAAGATCATTTTATTGGGGGGGGTCTTACAACTCTTATTACAATCCATACATTGATTGCATCAGGCATGTTTGTACATATGTTTTCATCATTCTTTTCTAGACATTTACTTTCTATTGAGCCCTTAGTATCAGCTCCTTTTTCCCCCTCCCCTCCCCCCATTCTCATGATCACTTGATAGACTATAAATTATTATTATTTTCATATCTCACACCGACCACTGTCTCCCTTCCCCCATGTTTTCTGTTGTTCTTCACCCTGGAGGGGGGTGCATGGTTATGTGACAATCATTGCGGTCAGTTCTCCCTTTCTCCCATCCTCTCCCCCCACCTCCCCTTCCCCTTCTGTTATCACTGGTGAGTTTGAACTGCCATCAAGGTCATGCCCAGGCAAGTTCCTGAGGGCTAGTTGAACCCTTCCTGGGGTAGCTTTAATGAAGCTGTGGTAGATATATAATCGTTGGTCAATTTGAGGATTAAGAGTGTAGGGGTGGAGTCTAGCTTGTCATTCAGATGATAGCCAATGAGGCCTCTGTGTGGACATGGCCTTCCCCTGAGGATTCTGGGAAATCCGGTACTTCCTCCTTGGAGGCGGAAGACACTTCTCTCTCTCTGTCACTCCCTTGGAGACTGTCTACTGACAAGGCTGACTTCCTGTGAGGCATTCCTGAGGAAATGCCACACGAACCTCCTCTGATGTAACCAGACCTCTGAAGCCGGAGCAGCCACAGAGAGACGCCTGCCAGTGCTGCGATGCTTACAACGCCACTGGATCCAAAGACTTTCTACCCACTGGCTTGTAATCATCCTGCATTTGGCTTCATTGCATGTGCTTAGTGAGTCTGAAGAGGACTTCATAGATTGGTATCAGACATATGGGCTAATATCAGACTTATGGCCTTGGACTGGACTGGGTTGGGATGTTTTCTCAATGTTCAATTCCCCTTGTATATGAACCTCTCCCTTATATACATATACGTGTTTATGAATTTGTTTCTCTAGTCTACCCAGAGTAACACAGAAGCCCTGGTGGTGTAATGGTTGTGCATTGGGCTGTGATCCTCAAGGTCAGCAGTTGGAAACCCCCAGTCACTCTTCCGGAGACAGATGGTGCTTTCTAGTCCCATAAACAATTACAGGATCGGAAACCCACAGGGACAGTGATAGACTCATTGTGTGTCAACATTGACTCAATGGCACTTAGTTTGGGCTGACACAGGGAATGCTATTAAACCCTTTTTCAAATACACCCTGCCTGAGGACAATACTTTTCAAAGAGCTGTTTAGGGTTCGGAAGCAATTCAATCGAGGCTGATTCTATGTGGAGCCTCAAAAATGGATTTAGGACTCCCTCTATAAACTACAACCTTCCACAAACTTAGTGCTCAGAATTCAATCTCTAATATGGAGCTCAACTGCCAGGACAAAATTCACAACCAATCACAGACTGCTTGGAGCATCTAGACTCCTGTAATATTCTATAAAATTAGAGTAACGTAACATTCTACTCTTTTCTTTGAACTTTGTTTCTACATGGGTACACATGAATTCAACCATAATTAATTGGGATTCTACTATGTTTTAAGAACTGGGGTTATACCAATAAACATAACAGCTAAGGTCTGTCTTCCTTTTATGTTGTTATTTATTTGTGTGCTGTTATTTTAAAAATACAGATTATTTATTTATAGGTGTGTTCTAGGGGAAAATGATCCCAATTTAAAATGTTTTACAGAGACCTCTTTCTATGTTAAGCTTTAGGGAGCTCTGTGTTTACGTGTTGGGCTGCTCACCATAAGGTTGATGGTTCAAACCCACCAGCCACTCCATTTATTCCTGTAAAGCTCTACAGTCTCAGCAACCCTAAGAAGCAGTGCTACTCAGTTCTATGGGGTTGCTATGGGTTGGAATTGACTTGACAACAGTTAGTCTTCCAACAGGACCATTGCAAGATAAAAGAACAAATCATCCAGATGAAGGAGACCATCATATGAGGCCATAATGATGTCCTTGAGGTCCAGGTGCTAAGGGGGCTAACATTCACAATGAGTTAATGGACCTTCAACCTGAACAAAGGTCTGAATGAGATTTTTTTAGAAATCTACCAAGGTTATTAAACTGGTGATGGAATAAGGATTAGTCAGGAGTCAAACTTAGATTGGGTAATAGAGACGGCATCTTTGAGGAGTGAGCCACTTGAGTTAAAAGCCTGATGACATCAAGGAGCTAGTCAAGTGAAGAACAGAGGTGAAGCTATTTAGGCAGAGACTTTTCACACAGCCCGTGAAAATCTCTGAGCTTGCGGGGCGTGCTGTGTGGCCAGGGCAGAAGAAGTGAGAACAGCCTGGTGTTAAGAGCAGATCCAGGCCATTTGGGGAGGAATCAGAATTGTATTTGAAGTGTAACCTGGAAGCAAGGAAGTAGCTAAACAGAGAGCAAGCTCTATTTACATTTTTTAACCCATCATTCCAGGTTTGTTACCATGAGTAGCTGGAAGGGGAATCAGAGAAGATGGAGACTGCAGCAGCTTCTGGGCTCTGGAAAAACTCCAGGTGACCAGAAATTCTAATCGATTAGATGAAGAAAACAGCAATCAAGGAACACACCTGCGCCTTGAGCGTGAGCTGCGGGACAGGTGAAAACAACAGCTGGTTGCTGTCCAGTCGATTCTGGCTCGTGGCTCGAAACCACACACCTTACGTTTTAAGGTTTCTGTAAGACAGTAACAATGGGGGTGGGGAGGGCAGGTAGGAAGGAGCCCTAGTGGTGTAGTGGGCTATGGTTTTGAACTGCTGACTATGAGGCCCACAGTGACTAATTTTTTGGAGGGAGACCTTGCCAGTCTTTCTTCTAAAGCACCTCTTAGTGGACCGCAATTTCTTACCTCTCTTTCAGCAGCCAAACACTTTGAACTGTGTGCACCACCTAGGGATACCCCTGGATAGGTAGGTGGTGCAGTTCCCCCAGTTACTGAGGGGGAAGATAAGGGTGGAAGGAGAGGTTTCTACCTGGTCATGTTACATTTCACATGCTCTCAGGCGTTTAAATGGGCAGTTTGCTATAAGAATCTGGAGAATTCAGGATTCACATATAAAATTCAACTTACTGCCATCAAGTCAATTACCACTGCTAGCAACCCTAAAGGACTGAGTCTGTGTGGCAGTTACATCATGTCATGTCAACATGATAAGTAAGTGTAGGGTTGGAATCTAGCCTGTTAATCAGGCACAGCCAGATGACGCCTCCTTGTGGGCGTGGCCTTCTCATGAGGGTTCTGGGAACTTCCTCTCTTTCTCAGTGGGGGTCGATTCTTTCTCGGCTTCACCTTCCTGTTGTGGAGACCCTCCGAGAGCTGGAGGAGGATCAGCCAGCCAGCGCTGAGAGGTGCCCTTCGGGGCGATGAATCGACAGAGTGGGCTGTGACCATGGCCTCCCGCCTAGGCACAATTGTGAGGATGGACCCGGCAGTTTCCTTTTGTTGTGCTCTGGGAACGGACTCGAAGGCACCCAACAACAAGGAGGATGGGAAAATGACACCTTGTTATTTCAATATGCTTTTCTTAGGACGGGGGTTCAGCTTCTTGATTTATGGCCAGCCGTTTGCCTTTTTCCTTTCTGCTATTCTGACTTTGAAGTTAGGGGGTACTTGTGCCCCGTAGGTGCCAGACTCTGGGATCCAAGCATTGCGGGGACAAGGTCGTGAGCTATGCTATTGGTTGGGAAGGACTTGCGCTTTTCATTAGGTGAGGGCCACTGGGGCAGGCGGCGAACTGGGGGAGAAGGCGACGGTGGGGGTGGGAGAGAGACGCTGGGGAGGAGAGAGGGCAGAGGCAGTTGGATTCAGATTGTAACTGAGCACGGGGCCGGCCAGCACCCGGAGAATCGGGAGTCCCAGCTGGAGAATCCCTCCGGCTTCCCTCCGCCCGGGTTTCAGAAGTTGGGAAACTCACGGCGCGGGGGGTGCGAGGGCTGCGCGTGGTCTCCGAGGGAGCGGGAAACAAAACAACCGAAACCGAAACTCCTCCGCTGGGTTCGGGCTCCTGGCCCCTCAGTCGACATATCATGGCAAGTTTGGGGTTGTTCGGGCTTTGCGCTTGCATGCCATCCCGTGCCCCCCACCAGGGCGCGGAGGCGGGCGGGAGCGGGTGAGGGCGCTGGCGAGAGGGGCTGCGGGGCACCGGCCCCCCACTGCGAGCTAGCCTCTGTTAACTTTTCGGTGCCTGCTCTTAGTTTAATGACTGGCCTCTCGTACAGGATCCGGCCCTGCGAGGAGCCGCAGCTCCAAAGGGACAGAAGGCAGGCTGCCAGGCCCCGCATCCAGCACCCACTGGTCCAGGGGACCTCCGGGTTCTCTCTCGCTGTAGGGGAGGGTGAGGGGAGAAAATGAACGAGAAACGGGGCCACAGCCTCCATTGAAAAGGGCCGCTGGGTGCGATGTAACAACGATGAGAAATACAACTTTCCTCTAGTTCCTGGTGCGATGTAACAACGATGAGAAATACAACTTTCCTCTAGTTCCTAAAGGTTTCCTCCCCGCTCCCACTACCATGACTCGAATTCGACCTTGCAAGTCTGGCTAGACCAGAGGAGGTACACTGGTACAGATAGGAACTGAAAATCCAGGGAATCCAGGGCGGATGAGCCCTACAGGACCAGTGGTGTGAGTGGCGATAGAGGGAGGGTAAGGGAGAATGGGTAGGAAAGAGGGAACCGATTACAAGGAACTGTGTGTGACCTCCTCCCTGGGGGACAGACAACCGAAAAGTGGGTGAAGGGAGACATCGGACAGGGCAAGATATGACAAAATAACAATTTATAAACTATCAAGGGCTCATGAGGGAGGGGGGAGCGGGGAGGGAGGGGAAAAATGAGGACCTAATGTAGGGGGTTTAAGTGGAGAGAAAATGTTTTGAGAATGATGTACAAATGCGCTTTACACAATTGATGTGTGTATGGATTGCGATAACAGTTGTATGAGCCCCTAATAAAATGTTCAAAAAAAAAAATTCAAGTAGGATGAACTCAAAAAAAAAAAAAAAAGAAAGAAAGAAAGAAAAAGAAAAGGGCCGCTGGGAAGGGATTGGAGCCAAGCACGCAAACTAGGAAGGAATCTTGTTGTCTTCTGTCAGCGTCAGTGTGAATTCTTCGCTTTTGTGGCCCCGTGTTTGCTCCATCTGTGCTGGCTAGGGAGACCAGGGCAGCAAGTTCAAGATTTAGCCTTCCGTGGTGTTTCCACTTGATTCTTTAAAGCAGTGGCAAGGCCTTAATCCCCGGTATGAACTACAGGGCCCATCCTATGACATCTAACAACTACAACCACAAAAAATGCTGCTCCCCTACCCCTGGAAATGGGAAAGCATTTGGGAAATGCAAGTGCGCTTTTTTAGCAAGAGCCTATGAAGACAGACTCATTGAAAATAACCTGCTCTATGGACATTGGGCCTCAACTCAAGTCCTACCTTAACACAAGAACACTTTGTTCTAACAATCCGGCATTCTGTGATGCTCACCTTCCTGATGTGTTCGCTGAAGCCAAAGTGGGCGCATAAGCAAATGTAGTGAAGAAATCTGATGGTGCCTGGCTATCAAAAGATATAGCATCTGGGGTCTTAGAAGGTTGAAGATAAGCAAGTGGCTATCTAGCTGAGAAGCAACAAAGCCCACAGGGAAGCACATCAGCCTGTGTGATTATGAGGTATCAATGGGATCAGGTATCAGGCATCTAAGACCCAGAACAAAATCATACCCAAGGTGAATGGGGGATGGGGGCATGGAGTGGAGACCCAATGTCCATCTGTAGACAGTTGGACGTCCCCTCACAGAGGAGTCACAGGGAAGAGATGAGCCAGTCAGGGTGCAGTATAGCACCGATGAAACACACAACTTTCCTCTAGTTCTTTGGTGCTTCCTTCACCCCACTATCATGACCTCAATTCTACCTTACAAATCGGATTAGACCAGAGCATGCACACTACTACAGATAAGAGCCCAAAACACAGGGAATCCAGGATAGATAAATCCCGCAGGGTCAACAAGGAGAGTAGAGATACCAGGAGGATTAGAGGGTGAGGGGACAAAAGGGGAATGGATCACAAGGATCAATCTAGAACCCCATCCCAGCGGGTGAGGGGCAAAGAAGGACGATGTAAGATATGGGGGAAAAAAATCTATAACTTATCAAGGGTTCGTGAAGGAAGGCAGGCAGGGGAGTGAGGGGGAAGAAATGGGGAGCTGATATCAGGGGCTCAAGTGGGAAAATGATGTGCATATGTGCAAATGTGCTTGACATATTGGAGGAATATATGGATTGTGATAAGAAATGTAAGAGCCCCCAGTAAAAGTATTAAAAAAAACCAAACCTGCTCTGGGAAAAAGAGATAAGTATAATTAGAATGGATCATGTTGTTATTTCTTTTTATTGCTGAGGGTTAGCTTTGTTTACAAAAATGCACTAAAATTATTAATTTTTAAACTTTCATATTATAATGACCAAAATATCTTTAAAGAAAAATCACTGATGCAGGGGAAATCTTTAAATATATAAAACATAGTATTGATACTATCACTTTAATACGTCTTGGCTGCTCTTGTTTCAGAATCCTGTATCTTTATGTTGACTCTTGAAAGGTCGTTCTCCACCACATCTTTCTCTTTACTTAAGTAGATTAGTAACTGCCATTGCACTGTACTACTTCCGTGACAGGTTTGTTTGTTCTTTTGGCAGTCCAGGACACAGCACTATACTTCAAATGCAGCGATTCTTCTTCAGTATTCTTTATTCAGAGTCCAACTTTCATATGCATATGAGGTGATTGCAAATATCATGATTTGGGCCAAGTGCACCTTAGTCCAATATATTATGTAAAGAATGAAAAGCTATAGTATGACCTAATTGTGTGTGCCTGTTAGGTCAATCTAATGACTTTTACCACTTACAGAAAAATATTCCCAATAGCTAGGGCAAATGGATGGCCTTTTTTGTCATCATAATTTAGTGAAAACATACTATTCCTTAGTTATTTATGATTTTTAAAGTGGGCCCCCTTTAAGTGCCAGACATGGGGATTCATTCTTTGCTGTGACTGGACCCATGTTATGGAGTCAAAGTCTCCCTACGTGGTCATTCGTTGTTGTTTTTAGCTAAATAATTCTCAGAATTTTAATTTGACATTGTGTTTTTTTTACTTTGATTGTAGTTAGTATGGGTGAAAGCTGAGGCTTTCTACTCTCGTAGACAGTGACAGTCTTGGAAAGCCACAGGGACGGTTCCGCCTGTCCTATAGGGCTACTGTAGGCCAGAATCAAACCTGAGGCAGTGGGTTTGGTTTGGGTAGTGAGCAGGTATATAGATGTCTGCAAGCACGTTTGCATACATACCTAGAGGAGTGTGGGGAGTCAACTGGTCTCTTTTGCTCACTTCCCCTTTTTCATATTACTCAGCTTCTGCCATTCGGGTCATCACTTCTCTGCTGCAGTCCCGTTTTGCTTAGTCTGGCCTGTAGCGTCTTTCTTATCCTTTGCTTATTTCTCTAAGTAGCTGGGCCTCGGACTGCCAACCACAGGGTCAGCAGTTTAAACCCACCAACTGCTCTGCAGGAGGAAGATGATGAGGCTGCGCTGTTGGAAAGATGTATGTTCTCATTATGCAGAAGAATATATATATATAGTCTTTGTGAGTAGGAGTCAACTCGGTGGCAGCGTGTTTGGTTTTGGGTTTTTGGAAACCAAGAAGATATGTCGACCTCTAAACCATTTTTGTGGTTGTTTGCTTTTTATTCTGTTTTGTATTATAGCATTCCTTTGGGACTTCCTCCATTCTTTTTCTTGTTAGGTGCCATTGAGCTGACTTTGACTCATAGTGGCCCCAAGCTGTCGAGGGGAGCTGTCCCATTGGGTTTTCTTGGCTGTCATTTTTCTGAGAGCAGACTGTAGCATCTCTCTTGGTCAGAGCCAATGAGTGGGTTCGAACCACCAATCTTTCAGTTAGCAGTGACGTGCTTTATACTGTGCCACCAGGGGTCCTTACCGAAACCTTTAGCCCTTACTAAAACAAGACAAATGTAACAACATTTTCCATTTATAAAAATAAAGATTTCACTTTTTACATTGAACCCTCAAATTCATGTAGTTTATTGTGTATGGTGTGAAGCAAGGATGTCTCTTCAATTTTGTTTTACAAGTGTGTACGTAGCTCTGGTACTGCAGTGGTTATATGTTGGGTTGCCAACTGCAAGGTTGGCAGTTCAAAACCACCAGCTGCTCTTTGGGAGAAAGATGAGGCTTGCTACTCCCACAGCAGTTACAGTCTCAGAAACCCCTGGGGGCAGTTCCACGCTGTCCTTTAGGGTCACTATGAATCAGAATTGACTCCTTGGCAGTGAGCTTTGTTTGTTTGTTGGAATCAGCTGTAACAGCACCTTTGTTAAATAAGAGAGTCTCTCACTGGCGTGTCATGTCCCCTTTATTCAACAGTTTTGCATTTTTGAAGCATATCCTATTTCTCTTACAGGAATCGGTTTCGAATGCTAAGGGGTCTGAAGCGTCTGAAAGAACAATTGTTGTTGCTGGTCTTCCGGTTGGTTGTTTGCGTGATCAATTACTGGCCAAGGTAGTGAAGATTTACTTCCAAGATCCTAAGATTGAGGGTGGAGATGTTGAAAATGTGATATACCCAACAAGAACCAAGGGAGTTGCATATGTAACATTCAAGGAAAAAACAGGTATTTCTAGATTGAATTTTTATAATCGAAGGAATATTTCTATGGTGAAATTTTAAAAAATGCATTTTATGCAAATAATTCTTGGGATTGATAAAATCATAAGTAGGTTTAAAATGCATTCTTAATACGAAAGTAGACAATATTATATTAGTAAGAGTATATGTGTGCCAAAATGTTTCATGTTGAAGGTGTTATGACTGTAAAATTCCCAGACTTTTTTTTCTGTTCATATTTTGAATCCTTCATTATTTTGGGATAAAGGTAATATATTTTTAAACTTGTGAAAAACACTGAAGATAAAAACCCAATAATGTATCTATAAACTCTCAACCAAGAGATACCTATTTTGGCAGTTTTATTTATTCAAATCAGTAATGAGAAATAGTGCTCAAATAGATATTGCAACGTAGTATCTGCTATGCTGGTGGTAAAGCTAGGTTGGAGAAATATGGCTTGACTCTGAGATCTAGCCGTTCTGTTTTCTACCGTCCAACCTTGACCTGGATGAGGAGAGTTGGTCTGTAAGACACACTTATCTTTCCAGCCTCATGGAGGGCTCAGCTCTCATTACTGTGTGTGTCAAGCAGAATGAAGTGCTGGGGAAAGATGAGCCCCAAGCCAGGCTCTCTGAGGTGAAAGTAAGAGCCGAGCATGGGCTCTTCCTGGAGTAGGCAGATTCTGGAGAGAGATCCCATAGGCTATGGTTCCTAGTACATTTGCCTTCCACCATTAGTTATATCTCAATGTGGATATGCAGATCAGGGGTGGTGGGCAGGGTGGATACGTGAGAGGACCCACTCATTCATACACTCACAAATGTTTATTGAGTGTCTGTTTGCCAAGTATCTCGTTCTAGGCCTTGAGAATACAGTAGTGAGCGATATAGACAAAATCATCTCTTTCATGAAACAACCCATTGCTGTTGAGTTTATTCTACTCACAGTGACCCCACAGGACAGAATAGAATCCCCTCCTTAGTTTCCGCAGGCTCACTGCTGCATCTTGCTAACAGAGAGTGTCTGGTGGGTTTGAACCACCAACGCTTTAGTTAGCAGTTGAACTCTTAACCATTGTTTCTCTAGGGCTCCTTCAGATGGAGAGAGAAAGCTGATAAACAAACAAATGCATATGTATGTTGGATGGTAATAAGTGCTGTGAAAAAATATCGAGAGGAATTAATGGTTAGAGTGTGCTAGAGAGTGTTATTTTAGATGGGGTGGTGAGGGAATTCTGTTTAGGTAACTTTTGAGCAGAATGAAGTAAGAGAATCATTTACACAGATATGAGGGAGAGATAGATCATTCTAGGCTGAGGAAAGAGCTGAGAAGATGCCTTGAAATGGGAGCATGCAGGGCACCTAAAGAACAGGCAGGAGGTCTATGTGGCTGAAATGCAACAAGCAAGGTAGAGAGAGAGGAGATGTGGTTAGACACAGAGCTCGGCCTAGTTATGGTGGGCAGTAACTTACAGGTCAAGGCCAATTCTCTGGATTCCAGTCTAAGTGAAATGGAGGGATTTACACAGAAGATTGACAAGATATCTTTTTCTAGGCAATCATTCTGGCAGCCACATGCAGAATCGGGGCCATTGCAATCATTGACTAGCATGCTGCCAGGTCAGCACATGAGAACCGAGGACATTTAGAATTTGCTCAGGACCAGATGTCATTTTCTGCAATAGGAAAGATTTAGAGAGGAGTATGTTTAGGAAGGGAATTATGATTGAGACGTGAGTTTTGGGCAATGACCTATTAGGGCAGTAAAGTAGAGATGTCTAGTAGGCAGACAGGAGAAATATTTTTAAAAAAATAGAATTTTGGAAGATATGGATGTAGTGATGGTATCCAAAGCTATAGAAATTATTGAGATCTTATAGGGAGTGGGTAAAGGTTAGCAAAGAGATGTGAGGCCCGAGGCATGGACTTGCTAGAGACTGGAAAGAGGAGGCTTGGCAAAAGGTATTGAGAAAGTCAGCCAGTGAGTGAAGAAGAAAACCAAAACTGTGGCATCTTGGATTCAAGTGAAGTCGCTGTATGGCAGTAACTAATAGTGTGGGGATTAACTTTTAGATATCAGTTTCATATGTAAATCCTATGCATCTATATATACATATACATATGTACATACATGCATATGCATACTATATAGATATATATGCTATGCATTTAAAAGAACCACAACTTTTATTGTAAAATTGGGTAAAGATATACAGAGCAGATCGGTTTTCCATTCAACAATTCCATTAATTGCAATCTGCACAATGTAGCGTATCTTTCCCACTTCCTCCCTGTGTTTCCTGTTTGCATTTCTCCTTTCCTAATCCTTTGCAACTATTTCCTTAGGTAAACGCTTTCTTTTTTTTTTTTTTTGCTTTCTTTTTTTTAAAACCTCAAATGACTGATTATTCTCAAGTGTGTATACCTCCCTTATGTTATGTTATCGCTCCCTTTATAGACCCGTCTATTGTTTGGCTGAGAACTGAGCCATGAAGGTGAATTTTTAACAGTCTGAGTAATTTACAATATTTACATATAAAATGTAATTATGTATGAAGTCTATGTTCATATATTTACATATACATATAAATGTGATACATTAATGCTTCATGTATTAAGTCCATTTTCACACATTTGCATACAACATGGACTTTCATGTATTAAGTCCATTTTTTACACGTTTACATATAAAATGGACTTTAATGTATTAAGATGGGAGGAAGCAAGCTATTTAAATGGGAAAATGCAGGGGAAAAATCTCTTCTACATGCTAGATGATAATAAGTCGAGCCCCGTATTTTGTCGCAAGCACTTCTAACGGTAGACATGGGTCTGCTCAGTTGCAGCGAATGTCATCAGGAAGCGGAAGCACCGCCTAGAAAGGAAGGAAATTCGTGCTCAACTCACAGTCTCTGGCTTTAGTGAGCAGGTAAGCAGGTGTGCTGTCTCCTCTGGATCCCTGACGTAAGAAGACATAAAGCTTTTGTCCTATTGCACAAAAGTTGCTAACCCGTGTAACACAGGCTATACCAGTGTTTTGAAAATTCTCAGTGGTTGCCTGGCCTGTGTTTTGCATCTCTATGTCCCCTTACTGCTTCAATGGGACAGAGAGCTTTGATACTGTCCTGGATGATGTTTAGTATTTACCTAAACACTTTATTTGGTGGGAGGAGGGAGCCACTAGAATGAACATAATTAAAACAAACACAAAGAAATATTAAGGATAAGAGGAAAAATTAAGTTCAAGACATTGGTTTATAAATTGTGTAAGAGCCTATGTGTCAGTGGAGCCATGGGATGAACTTCAAAGCCAGGGATCACTTCAGGAGGACAGGACCAACATGAAAGGACCCTCTTGTCCTTCGAGCATAACCAGAATCCTTTTCTATGGCTCTACATAAGTACATAAGATTTTGTTTCAAAAGAACACTCTACCACACACACAAAATTGACTATCTCCTTTTTGGAGTATGTGGTGAAATGCCAGATTGAACAATGTGGCCTTGATGGGGTTGTGGCTTCCCTTTGATGGGCTTCTATGGTGCAGGGCCAGGAAAGTTGGGCTAGGCAAATGGGTCTGGTTTAGGGCAAGCTCTGCGGAGATGAGGAAAGTGGCAGGAATGGAATATGTTTCCGTAATCTGCTTCACTAGGCAGTGCAAATTTAATCTCTCTCTTTCTAATTTTAGGTCTTCTGTGCTGTAAATGCCATCCTTGACCTTTCAGTCTTTCAGAATCAAGTTATTCTAGAAAACCTGATAAGGGACCTAAAAAAGAAAATCCCAACTTTATGCTTTAGCCCTCTGGAAGCCAATGGAAGAATCTCTGTTCAAGGATCATTTCTGGCCATCAAGCAGCTCAGAGAATCTTTGTTGCTACAAGCCATTGATCTTTCAGGGAAGAAAACGCCTTCTAGCAGCGAGGAAAAGAATTGCAGCAGACCAAGCCCCCGAAGGAGCAAACAGGGACATCATGCCCCATTGGAGTCACTCTGGACCTTAGTACCTGAGACAACCAGAAATGGAGAAACACTTGTTCTCGACACAGATGTGTTCCTTTACTTGAAATTCAGGTGCAAGTATTACGAAAGCACATTGAAAGAGTGTAAGGTTCTAAGTCAGGAGATAGTGGATGGTGACATCACCACAATTTGTCTGAAAAATGCACAGGGTGGGTCTCAGCCACATGATGCAAAGCAGGTAAAGCAGCTCCTAGAAGGATATGCACATTCTCTTCAGCGAGACCTTAGAAAAGAAACATTGGTTCTGGAAGGAATGGAGAATGGAGAGAAAAGGGCTCTCCGATTGGCATGTGAGAAGCTGCAAGTGAGGTACCCTAAAGTGCTGGTCAATTGCTATCGGACACACATTGACATTATAGGGTCTTCCTCTGACACTTACCTATTTAAAAAACAGGTAAGGAAATTGACAGGATGAAAGGTTAGTTAATAAAATCTCAGCAACACTAATGTTAATAGTTCCTTCCTCAAAGGAACTGGGACCACATCATGTACCTGTTGGCATTGCACATACCATCTCATTTAATCTACACAACCAACTTTCATTGTAGGAATGATTATCTTTAGGTTGCAGGAGAAGAAAGTAGGAGTTGGAGACATTAAAAGACTTTCTGAAAGTTATAGCGCTCACACGAATGGGCTGGAACTAGCCCAGGATGTCTGACGGCAAAGAATTTCTGAGGTATAGCACTTTGAAAAGAAGCAAAATAAAAACAACTTATTAAACTTGGAAGAAATCTCATTTTCTCAGCAGCCCTAAATTATTAGAAAAAGAAGTAGACTTGATTCTAACATACTAGAAGTTTGAGTGATTATTTACCTGCTCTTGACAATTTCTTAACATTTACAAAGTATGTGTTCACTCTAAATAGGCAAAAGACACTTGAAATGCTGGGAAGAAGGAAGATATTTTTGAGTCAGATTACCGTCTTGGAAACCCACAGGGGCAGTTCTGCCCTGTCCTAAAGGGTCACTATGATTCGATGGCATGTGCTTGTTTTTGTCTAATCATAACTGTACTAGAGCCCATTGCAGCAAAATTTCAGGCCACAAAGTATTTCACTGCTGTTAATTTAGCTCAGGCTTGTACAAAAGGTTTGTGCTCATGTTATAAAGAATTTTGAAAGAAACTGTAGTGTTTTTCCGTTTGCCATCTTTATTTAGTAGCTATAAAGTCATAGCATTTGAAGAGTAAGATTCTGGATAGTAATGTTGTTTGTTGCCATCAAGTTCACTCTGACTCAGAGCAGTCCCATGTGACTTTTCAGAAGCCTATCTCTAGACATGGCTCCTAAGACACCTCTGATTGGATTCGAACCTTCAACTTCCCAGCAAGGGGTTGAACACATAGCCATTTGCACTCACCGGGATTTCTGTGCATAGCAATGGTGTTGCTAAGTGTTGTGGATTCAGTTCCCATTCATAGCAGCCCTATGTACCACCAGCACGAAACACTGCCTGGTCCTGTTTCATGTCATGATCTTTCCTGTTTGAGCCTGTTGTTGAGCCACTGCATCAATCCATCTTGTTGTGGGTCTTCCTCTTTTTCACTTTATCAAGCATGATGTCCTTTTGCCCTCTGATAACATGTCCAGAAAACATGAGACACAATCTTACCATCCTAATTTCCAAGGGCCATTCTGGCCGTATTTCTCAAACAAATCTTCTCCTAAGACAGATTTGTTCCCTCAACAGTCGATGGTAATCTTAATATTCCTCACCAACACCATAATTTAAAAGCATCAATTCTCTGATCTTCTTTATTTATTTTCCAGTTTTCACATACATTTGAGGTAATTGAAAATTCCATGGCTGGAGTCATGTGCACCTGAGTCCTAAAAGTGATATCTTTGCTCTTTGACTCTTTAAAGAAGTCTTTACTTAAGATTTGCCCAATATAGTATGCCTTTAGATTTCTTGACTATTAAGCTCATGAGTGCTGATTCTGAATCCAAGTAAAATGAAACCCTTGACAATTTTAATATTTTCTCCATAGTCTGGGTTTACTAGAGAAGCAAATTCATGAACACTCATATGTGTACAAGAGAGAGCTTTATATCGAGAAGCAATGCATCAACAAAGCATCCCATCCTAGTCCAGATCAAGTCCATGAGTTCAATATAGCTCCTAAGTCCAATATTCACCCAAGAATTCCTCTGGAGACTCATGCAATACATGCAATGATGCCGAATGCAGGAAGATCACAGGCCCATGGGTGGGAAATCTTGTGGATTCAGTGGCAGTGGTAGCATCTCAACACTGGCAGGGGTCTCCACGTGGCTCCTCTAGCTCCAGGACTCTGGTGTAGCTTCATGAATCTTGTCAGTAAGAATGTCTCACAGGGAATGTGTGTGTTGCGTCTCCAGTGAGCTATTTATTTCCTTAGTGCCTCCAAATAAGGTCATCAAGCTCTGACCTGATTGACAGGCTAAACACTACCCCTTCACTCTTAATAGTCTCAAGTTGACAACAGATTATGTAACTACCACAGATCACCCCTTATCAACTTGACACTTTTACACAACTCTTCAGCCATATATAATTTTTAAACAAAATAATAAAATCATATCTGTACCTAACAGGATAAAACTAAAATCATACAATTAAATATGTGCCATCCTCATTTAAATGCATTATTCTAGAATTGAGCAACACACTAGTCTATGCTTAACAATTGCCAGCCACTTCATGCATTTATCCTCCCAATTTTGAGTATCCAATTTCTATACTGCCCACTCATATCAACCCAGTGCTCTGAGGAGACAATCATATTCTTTGATGTGAAGACTCTTCATTCCAGTTGGCACCTTGTGAAGTCCACATCCATAAGCAAAGTCAAATCAAGGCAGGCCATCCATAAGGTCAGCAACAATATGCACCAATTCACAGGCTCAAATATCTTCTCTTCATCTGGTCAGGTTTTGGTCAACTCAATGTAGGCTGCCTCAGTTAGCCTCACCAGGGTGCACATTAGTTGCCTTGCCTTTAGAGCATGGCTCCATTACAAATTCTCAACAACCCAAGCCCCCTTGGGCTAGGTGATGCCATAGGCTCAGGTTCCACACAACTCTGTACATTTCAGACCAGCCAACCCATTCTCATCTTCTCTAGCTTCTGTAAACCAGGTCCATGGTGTCAGTGGCCAGACTCAACCGTCTCTTTATTGCTGCATTTCTCCCACTTCCACTCTACAAGTGGATCCAGGTGGTCACCTAGCAAGCATTTCAGCCTGCCCAAAGGCTCTCTTTAGCATTCAGTCCTAGAGAGGAAAGTTTCTTCATGGCTCCAGATTTTTTCCCAGCCTCTGGCACAAATCGCTAGTTCAAAATTCAAAATGCCAAAGGGCTCCATTTTTTCTTCAAACTGTCAACAGCCCCCTAGGCAAGTCTCTTCACCTTCGAATGTCCTGAGCACTCAAAACTTTGGATGGGGATTGTCCTTTCAGAGTCTTCTTTGCAAGCATGTTCTAAACCCATTTAAAGATCAAATTTTAATGGCTCAAGGCAAGTGGGCTCACAAGTTCTCTATTTTCAAACTTCCCCATAATCATTTCTATCAATCATTATATCAACAATAATACACCGAAGAAATCAGTATAAACAAAGTAGAATCATACTAAATTCGAATCTTTAAAAAAAAAATCATTTTATTGGTGGCTTAACAATTCTTATCACAATCCATACATACATCCATTGTGGCAAACACATTTGTACATTTGTTGCCATCATCATTCTCAAAACATTTGCTTTCTACTTGAGCCCTTAATATCAGCTACTCACTTTCCCCCCCACCCCCCCATGAACCCTTGATAATTTATAAATTATTATTATTTTATCATATCTTACACTGTCCATCGTCTCTCTTCTCCCACTTTTCTGTTGTCCACGCCCCAGGGACGAGGTTATATGTAGCTCCTTATCATCCGTTTCCCCTTTCTACCCCACCTTCCCTCCATCCTCCAGGTATCGCCACTCTCACCACTGGTCCTGAAGGGGTCATCTGTCCTGGATTCCCTGTGTTTCCAGTTGCTATCTATACCAATGTACATTCTCTGGTCTAGCCAGATTTGTAAGGTAGAATTGGGATCATGGTAGTTGGGGAAGGAAGCATTTAAGAACTAGAGGAAAGTTGTATGTTTCATCATTGCTACCCTGCAACCTGACTGGCTTGTCTCCTCCCCGCAACCCTTCAGTAAGGGGGTGTCCAGTTGCCTACAGATGGGTTTTGGTCTCCACTCTGCACTCACCCTCATTTACAATGATATGATTTTTTGTTCTTTGATGCCTGATACCTGATCTGATTCCTTTGACACCTCCTGGTCACACAGGCTGGTGTGCTTTTTCCATGTGGGCTTTGTTGCTTCTGAGCTAGATGGCCGCTTGTTTATCTTCAAGTCTTTAAGACCCTAGACGCTATATCTTTTGATAGCCGGGCACCATCAGCTTTCTTCACCACATTTACTTATGCACACATTTGTCTTCAGTGATTATGTATGGAATGTGTGCATCATGGAATGCCAATTTAATAGAGCAAAGTGTTCTGGCATTGAGTGAGTACTTGTAGACTCAATTCTTAGAACAGTCAAGTTCAATCCTTATTTATCTTAATCTTTATCAAAACTATTCTATTGATACGAAATATGGAATTAGACCTCTGATTGCATCAAGCCCAAGCCAGGCTTTCTGTCAGCCATTTTGACCTTCTGTCAGCCATTTTCACTAAGCAGCATAGTCTCTGAGAAATTGAAATGGCAAATTCTACCCCTGACCTCAAAATATACATTAATCACATTCATTTTTGCCATTTCAAACAGGAATAACCAAAGACTACAACCAAACAAAATAATCAAAACTTTAACTTTCCATATTATTTCCAGAAAAACAACCCAGTAAACTGCATGGCCATATCTGACCTCTGGCTAGCCAAAGAAGAAAAACTACATGAGGCAGAGGTCAAACAAGCATCCTCTCTCCATCTTTGTGATTGTCTCTCTAGCACCCCACTCCCAAGGGACCATAGTGTGTTAGCCTGGGTAGACTAGAGAAACAAATTCATAGACACTCATATGTGTATAAGAGAGAGCTTTATATCAAGAAGCAATTATGCCTCAATAAAACATCCAATCAATAGAAACAAACACTCCTTTTCACCTAAGGATTTCATCATTATTACTGCCTGTTTCATTTCTATCAACAATTTAAAAGAAGAATTATCACATCTAACTTCTCTCATTGTATTAATCCAGGTTAACTAGAGAAACAAATCAAGAGGCACTGACATGTGTACAAGAAAGAGCTTTATATGAAGAGTAATTGTATATTAAGAAAACATCCCAGTGCAGTCCAGATCAAGCCAATAAGTCCGGTAGTAGCTCATATGTCAGATACCAGTCTATAAAGTTCTCTTCAAATTCACATGACACATGCAATAATGCTGAATGCAGGAAGATCACAGGCCAGTGGGTGGAAAATCTGTGGGTCCAGTGGCAGTGGAAGCATCTCAGTGCTGGCATGGGTCTCCACGTGGCTCCTCCAATTCCTGGGCTCTGACTCCATTAGTGTAGCTCCCTGTGACTTGTCAACAGAATATCTTGCAGGGAGAGTGTGTGTCTGGACTCCAGTAAGCTATTTGTATCTGTCGCGCCTCCAAATGAGGTGATCAAGGTGCAACCTGATTGACAGGCTGGACTCCACCCCTTCCTCAAGTTGACAGTAGCTGCCATACTCATCCCTTGAGAATTATTTACATCAGGTAAATGCATAATAACAGTCACAGGACACACAGAACATTTCTGAGACCTCTTCAACAAGAATTCTCTGTTTCACTTGATAATACCACTCCTTCTGGCCTGCGTGTAAAATCTATTTTCTGCACAAAATGTGCCTCTGATAACCTTTCTTCAGTGCCTGGTAATGTTTAGCTTGTAAGACTCAAGGTCAAAATTTTAATTTGAATGACTCCCAAAAGCGAAGTTCTGGCTGCTTTTGATGGAATGAAAACATTTTCCAGCAGCACCCTCTTTAGGAGTTGTTCTTTTCCTTCACCTTATCTTTCTCAAAAGCACTTAAGGATGTAGCAATTTTTGTACTGAATTATTGGGGACATGATGTAACTTTGATGTTGGAG